CATAGCTTTGGGGGAACCCTGAACCCTAACTACCCTAAACCCTAATGTGAACATAGCTTTGGGGAAGGGGATGGGAGTGCTGAGGATGTAGGATGGAGACTAGCAATTGCTTCGCTGGTTGAGATGTTCACTCAGGACCCAGGGTGTAGGGTGCTGCAGGGTGTAGGGTTGCCAACAACCCTAAACCCCAAACCCTAAACCCTAGACCCTAGACCCTAAACCCAACACCTTCCGTCATGGTAAGTAGGGTTTAGGGTTTAGGGTTTAGAGTTTAGGGTTTAGGGCTTAGGGCTTAGGGTTTAGGGCTTAGGGCTTAGGGCTTAGGGCTTAGGGTTTAGGGTTTAGGGTTTAGGGTTTAGGGTTTAGGATTTAGGGTTTAGGGTTTAGGGTTTAGGGTTTAGGGTTTAGGGTTTAGGGTTTAGGGTTTAGGGTTTAGGGTTTAGGGTTTAGGGTTTAGGGTTTAGGGTTTAGGGTTTAGGGTTTAGGGTTTAGGGCTTAGGGGTCGAGAGTCTCTCTGCGTCTGGAATACACATGCCCAACCAAGACCCTCAAACCGCAGACCCAGTTTTTGGTAACGAGCCCCAAAACCCTCCTGAACTCCCCTAAGCCCTAAGCCCTAAGCCCTAAACCCTAAAACCTAAACCCTAAACCCTACACCCTAAACCCTAAACAAGAAAGGCAGGCGCCATGCCTGCCAAAGCATTGGCCGTGTCGTTGAAGGTCGCGCCCAGCTTATCTGAGATGTGTTGCTTACTGGCTTTCAGTAGGTAATGAGGGAGGTTTAGGGTTTGGGGTTTGAGGTTTGGGGCTTGGAGTTTGGGGTTTGTGGATTAGGGTTTAGGGTACCTTATATCCCCCTATACACAAACCTTGTAAGGGATTGCATCGGGTGCCTCATTCCCTGATTGTGGTTTGTTGGTTTTGTGGTGTTTTGTTTTGGTTGGGGTGGGGGGGGGGGGGGGCCTTTTGTCTAGTTTTGCCTTAAGAGTCCAAGACCGTTTTGGTGGGCGGTTGCTCATAACCCTTTGTGGTGAGGCCGTGGGATTTAAGGACTGGGTTCTGTCTTCGTCGGGAGTTTGGGCTGCCGGTTCCGGCTCCAAAGACAACTTGCCTTCAACCCTGAATCCCAAACCCTAAACGCTCAACCCTAAACCCTACGCGCCCGCAAACAACTACACAACCGCGCAAACACCAAGCCACTGGTGAAGCCCTTCATGGACGCGACGGCATCCGACATGGCGTGGTGACCCTGCATGGGCGCGGCTTTCTTGGGGTAGTTCGATGGTCCCTTGATATTGGGCCCTTCAAAAGGGGCCCGTGTATAGCCCTTATATACCCTGTGCAACACAAGGGGCCCACACATCAGACCCTTTAAAGGGATTAACGGAACCCTATGAAGGGACCATGTAACTACCCGAAGAGTCTTGGGCTCTATGGGGTTGAGGGTTATGGGGGTTTGGGAAGGGGGGCCCTTTCAGGCGGGATGCGAGCTTCAGGCTGGGCTGGAGGATCCAAGACTCAATCATGGCGTGTAGGGCCGAGGTAGGGTTTACGGAGGGGTTAGGGTTTTGGGTTTAGGGTTTAGGGTTTAGGGCTTAATGTTTATGGTCTAGGGTTTAGGGTTTCGGGCTATCGTGAAAGCTGTCTCTAAAAATCCCCCAGTAGAATCTGGAATTCTACTCAACTGGGGCTTGAACCCTGAGGTAAGGAATGGGTACAGGCTACTAAGCCTAAACCCTAAACCCTAAACCCTAAACCACAGAAAGCGCCTGCGGCTCCGTGTGGCCCTCGGGATGAGAAGTGATCTGGAACCCGGGCGGCAGGGCCTCGCCCGGTGCAAACCTTGCAGCTCGAATCGGCCCTAAACCCCTACCTTGGTTTAGGGTTTAGGGCTTTGGTTCAGGGCCTTAAAACCGAAACCCTAAACCCTGAACTAGGGTTTAGGGTTTAGGGTTAGGGCTTAGGGTTTAGGGCTTAGGGCTTAGGGCTTAGGGCTTAGGGCTTAGGGCTTAGGGTTTAGGGTTTAGGGTTTAGGGTTTAGGGTTTGAGGTTTAGGGCTTAGGGGTTAGGGTTTAGGGTTTAGGGTTTAGGGTGTAGGGTGTAGGGTTTAGGTTTAGGGTTTAGGGTCTGTGGGTTTAGGGTTTAGGGTTTGGGGTTTAGGGTTTAGGGAAAAAGTATATACTTTTTGGGGACAAGTAGCTAAAAATAGGAACCCAGAACCAAAACAAGTATTGAAGTAGAGTACTCCAATATCCCAGAAACTGCTATTTGCTTAAGAACTGGTTTCAGGGTTGAGGGTTTTAGAGTTTGGGGTTTAGGGTTTCAGGGTTTACTACTAATTGCTTAAGAAACCCGCGAATATTAAGCAATATACTCTTCCTTCTAAGGGTCATAGGGAGGATTATCTTTCATTGTTGGGGGATGCCTTAAGCAAATAGGAATACACCCTGCGTAAACCCCAGAGAGCTTGGGTTTTTTTTCGGAGTTGAGCGGTTGAGGTTTTCTGGGCTTAGAATTGGGATGTTCCCTTATACTAACAGTCCCGAATAGAGATTATTTTAGTGTACCCTCTACTATAATGCCTATGAAGGACTGCTGGTACAAGGGGGGCAGCATCCCAAGCTTAGAGGCCTACGAGTAGAGGGCATGAGGTTTCACGAGACTGTAGGCCTAAGGCGTCTCTCACTTGTCCGTCTCTTCATGCCCTCCACCTGATCCTGTGCCATCCCCCCCCCCCCCCCCCCCCCGCTTCCATGCCTCTGATTTGTTCAAGGAATAGGTTTGGGGTTTAGGGTTTAGGAGTTTATGGGGTTTAGCGTTAAACCTCAACCAAAACTGCTTAAACCTTACAACCCTGAACCCTAGGTAAATTGAGCTACTAAGCGGTAAAGGGAGGGACCCCTAGAACAGACCCTTAATCATGTTCCCCTATATCAGCCCCATATACACCTTACATCGTCCCTATCCCTACCTAAGTCGCCCCCAAATAAGCCCTAAAGAACCCCTAAGGTCCTATGAGGGTCCCTCCTTTAGTCCCTTGATCAACCCCCCGCGGCCGAGGTCCCTGCCACTTCCCCTGAGCGTGGTCCAAGGTCGACTGAAGCTGCTGGCCAAATTGGTCTGGGCGCGGGACTCTTGACCCTAAACCCTAAACCCTAAACCCTAAACCCTAAACCCTAAATCCTAAACCCAAACCCTACTAAACAATAACCCCCCCTAAGCTGCGACTTTTGTGGTTTTTTTTGGGTGAGAGGGGGGGAGGTGGGGGGGAGGGTTATGTAGGAATTGCTGCTGAGGGTCTGTGTTTAAGGTACCCTAAACCCTAAACCCTAAACCCTAAACCCTAAACCCTAAACCCTAAACCCTAAGCGCAAAGGACTCCAAGGGGCCGAAGACTCGCAACTCATTCCGAGGAATCCGAGCTGCAGTGCTTTCGCTCAACTCCGGGAATGCCGTGAATCCCCAAACCCTACTTGGAGGTTCATGGTACTCATTATAATTTTATTATGATTATTATGATTATGATTATTATTATTGTTATTAATATTATAATTATTATAATAATAATAATAATTATTATTATGATTATTATTATTTCAAATATATGTATATATAACTGTATATCTGGGCACTTAAGGGGCTCATAACTGGGCTATAAGTACAGTTATAATTGGCTAAGTAGACCCCACCCAGGCGTAGCCTACGTAAGGCAGTCCTCTCCAACAACTCGCTCTCCATTTCGATGCAACTTACCCCCGAGCTCTAGAACCCTCAAGGCCTAGAACACAAGAACCATCAAAGCCCAAAACCCGGTAAACCCCAAGCTGAGGGTTCAGGGTCTAGGGCAACCAAACCCCCAAAACTGCCCCAACAAAACCCTAGACCCTAAACAACCCAAACCCGAAAAAACCCGGTAAAACCCAAGTTGAGGGTTTAGGGTTGGGCTACTAACAGTCCTTAGCAGGGATTATAGTCCCCTTCTTATAATCTCTATTAAGGACTGTTGGTACAAGGGGGGAACATCCCAAGTTTAGGGTTTTAGGGCAACCAAAACCCCAAAACTGCCCCAACAAACCCTAAGCCCTAAAACAACCCAAACCCCTAGGGCCCCTTAGGGAAGCTTAGGGAGTGGTGGGGAGCAGTAGGGAACCTTAGGTTTTAAAAGAAACAAACTCCACTCGACTCACACCCGGTCGAGTCTCTGAAGTTGCTCACCACCATCGACTGGGCCTTCGGTTTAGGGTTTAGGGTTTAGGCTTTAGGCTTTAGGGTCTAGGGTTTAGGGTCTAGGGTTTAGGGTTTAGGGTTTGGGGTTTGGGGTTTCGGGTTAGGGTCTAGGGCTTCAGGGCTTTAAGTTTCGGGGGAGGAGCTAGTGTGGGGTCGGGGCGCACTCAATTGTGAAGGTCCTCAAAACCTTGACTGTAAGCGCCAAACCCGAACAAAGCCTAAACCCCCAAAGCCTAAACTCCTCGGCCCTCGAACCCGAAACCTCAACACGCCAACGCCTTTTCAAAAGCCATGCGCATGCTGCAGGATAGCACGTTGACATGCGCCTCAACCTCAAACCGTAAACCCTAAGCCCCAACAACCTGAACCATCTTACCCTAAAGTGCAAAAGGGCCTAAGCCCTCAAAACCCCAAACCCCTAAATCTTTCAGGCCTAGTCGGCCTAGTCTTCTACAAAGATTTACTTTTGGGATCGGATCCGTGCCTATAAGTCCATAGCGTGCATACACGCGGGAGTATGACAAAAAAGGTTCCTCGACGTTCTGCGAACGAGAAAGCAACTATTGCTTTCATGATCTTACTGTTTACACAGGAACTTTGCAACCAACGATTGTGAGTTTAAACATAATCTCCAAGGAACCACTCATAAAGAGAGAAGCTCTTTGTTTAAAGAGATCCTCCTCTGTCTCTTCAAGGGCCGTTCAAGGCCTTGGTCCCGAAGCCCGAAACCCTAAACCCTAAACCTCTCAAATCCAACTTTTCGCTGGATGGCGCTACTCAGATGCTAGTCTGGACGACTGATTGTTCGATGTGCTTTTCAACATCGAGTGGATGGCACCCTGATCCGAAACGTCCTCAACAAGACTCACACCGTCTGCAAAAGCTCGGCAAAAGTCCCCATGAAGCTCATGGACAATCGCATTGCTGTTGAAGATGATGCCCAGCTTGAAGCGGATTCGCTCGAAGTCTTCGATGTCAAAGTTGAAGCATGGCAAGACTGGCCGCGTGAACTGCCGCATACTGATGATGACGAAGAGCCCTTCAACCAACTTCTCACGAAAGACCCAGGCGAGTGCGTCCGCACCCATGTAGGCAGTTGCAGCAGCGAAGAGAACAAAGATGCTGACTACGGCTACAACCTCCAGAATCCTGCATGCAACTGTGTACCAGCGGCAAAGTCGAGTTTCCCAAAGGAACTTCAGGTAATGGCCTGAGCCCATCGGGGTATTCAGCGGAATCTTCATGAAGAATCTGGCAATTGTTCCAAACCAAATGAAGGCGACCAGTAGAAAGCAGATCCAGATGATCGCCAGGGGCGCATAGCCGGATGAGTGAATGTAGCCCCCATCATTGCAGGAAAGGGTCACAGCTGACAAGCTCAGCAACCACCAATTGTACTTTGCCTCAACACAATCAAGGTCCCTGCCTAGGGCACAGAATGCGCAGGCCCCTCCTCGGGACTGAACTGCGATCTCAAACATGCAGTCCCGCAAGAAAATGAAGACAGCAAATTGAAAGAGCGGGAGCATGATCAGCTCGATCAAGATGAGATGCAGGATCGCAGGAAAGCAGCCTGAAGCCCGGGCGATGGTTGAACATGTCCAGCCAACCCTTGGCATTGGGACCCAGTTCAGACAAGGGAGCTCTTGCCGAGAGTAGGCTCGCGTCTACTGCTGCGGCTACTGCTGCGGCTACCACTGCTGAGCCTCAAGAGCCAAGAAACTTCATGATCGACACGATGCTGAAACGTTCTAACGGCTATGGCGTTGGTTTCTGGGTGATCGATCAGTCGCTGGTCCACGCCCCCGATTGCCCAGTGCAATGCTTGTGCCCTGAGAGTGCACAAACAGCAATAGAGCACGGTAGAGCGGTGAATGCGGCTTTGCGGTGGGATGTCGTTCTAGTCTTCGTATTCTTATAGGGTCCTGAAGGGAGGGGGCTTCAAAGGGCGGTATGTAACCCAAGGTTCCCTAATGCTCCCCACTACTCCCGAAGGCTACCTAGCTTCCCCACTTGAAGGTTCATGGTACTTATTAACCAATTATAACTGTACTTATAACTGTACTTATAACTGTACTTATAACTGTACTTATGAGCCCCTTAAGTGCCCTAATATAGTTGCAATTTGGGTGATAAGTACAGTTATAATTGGTTACTAAGTACCATGAACCTCCAAGTAAGGTTACCCTCCCCATAAACCCCCCACCCTTGAGGACCCTGTAATACCAAAAAATCATTGCGCTAACTCCACTCCATCGAAATCTATCTCTGGGAGTATGTGGGACGGTCTTCTTTGCCAACTCCTGACAGCTACAAAGAGCCCTTCCCAAGGTAGTAAGTAAAGGGGATAAACTCAGAGTTGCCCTAAACCCTAAACCCTAAACCCGAAACCCTAAACCCTAAACCCGAAAACCTAAACCCAAAGCCCTAAACCCTGGATTCCCTAGATCCTCCCAGCAGCCCTTACGTGCAAGTGCCCTGCTCAAGCTCTGACCAAAAAGCGGCTCGTAAGAGGCGACCTCCTTAGCCCTTGGGACCTAACCCCAACCCCCAAACCCCAAACCCTAAACCCCAAACCCCAAACCCTAAACCCCAAACCCCAAAACCCTAAACCCTCAACTGTAAATCCTAAGCCCCCCTCAGGTTATCGGGGTTTAGGTTTTAGAGTTTAGGGCCCAGGGTCTCTCGGGTTTAGGGCTTAGGGTTTAGGGAATCCCAAGCCATCCCCAACAACCCAAATGACCACGAAACTCTGAACCGCAAAACAACATGTATCAAAAAGTATCACAAAACAATAAACCAATAAACTTGCAAAAAATGTGTGTATACATATATATATATATATGTATATATGTATAACTAAACTCTGAACTGTGGGGCTGGCCTGCTGCAGGTTGCCGCCGAGGTTCTGCGCGCGCCGGCAAAGTGTGGAGGAGGGGGGGGTTTAGGGTTGAGGGTTTAGGGTTTAGGGTTTAGGGTCTAGGGTTTAGGGTTTAGGGTTTAGGGTTTAGGGTTTAGGGTTTAGGGTTTAGGGTTTAGGGTTTAGGGTTTAGGGTTTAGGGTTGAGGGTTTAGGGTTGAGGGTTTAGGGTTTAGGGTTTAGGGTTTAGGGTTTAGGGCACCCTATACGGTCCCTCAACCCCAGCCCAAAACTACGTCTCTTACTAACAAGCCATCTGTCCTATCTGGTTATAACCCGGAGCGATGATCCGAGTAGGGGTCGGAGTTCAGACCCGAGGCATGAAGGAGGCGCCCTAAACCCTAAACCCTAAACCCTAAACCCTAAACCCTAAACCCTAAACCCTAAACCCTAAACCCTAAACCCTAAACCCTAAACCCTAAATGCCTCCTCCAACAAGAAGCCGACTAGCAGCTCGGCCGTCTCTTCCGGCCCCTGCAAAATGTAGACGCCGCGCGGCCTCGGAGCATCCCTGGCAGCGAAGACAGGACGGACATGGACGGCCGCCCGGTCAGAGGTCATGCAAATTTTGCCGTTCCAGAACTGTCTTGGCCTCACCGATAGCCCACGCGCGCAGTTTGTCGGGAAGGTTTTGCCCGACCAGCAACATGCACGGAGGCACCACGACGTCGTCCTCTGCAAGTTTGCGCCTCGACAAGGATAAGCATGAAGTTGGCCAGGAAATTATCATTAAAATCCACCATTGGATTGTTGGTACTAAAAGCCTTACCACTTACCATTGAAAAGAGTGTTCACATTCTTTCTCGCATCATGTGGCTCACGGATGCAGTGGCCAGTGTGGTTTCGTCTTTAAGGGTGTGAAGGCGTTCATCGTATTACTCTTGTTCCAGCATAACCACACATCTCAATGGTAACTCTTTGGGGTTCATGTTGTTCTCTTCATAGAATTCCTTGTGTCTGGATTCATCCTTCCTTTGGACATTAAGGCTCTAGCTCTTGGCATTGTTCATTCACCCGGTTCGCCCGTCCATCCACACCCTCGGGACCCCAACCGCCTGTCTTGTGGTATGCCCTAAGCTACCGAGCCCTGATCTGAAGAATCCTAGTTCCCTAGTTAGGGTCCTTTTTCGGGGTTCTTATTATCTTGGTAGCCCAGCAACCACCTCACAATAAGGGTACCCTTTTTTGGTTGGTTTCTTTATAAGGAAGCCCAGAACCAAAAAATGGGTCTACATATCAGACTCTCGACTAAATTCCATCCACTGTCAGTTCGAGGTTTCGTCTTGGGGGTCCTCGAAACCCTAACCCTAAACCCTAAACCCGAAGCCCTAAGCCCTAAGCCCTAAACCCTAAACCCGAAGCCCTAAGCCCTAAACCCTAAACCCTAAACCCTATGCGCTTGAAGCATGCGGGGGCGTCTGGCCGTGAACCCCCCAAGCCCCAGACCGAAAACCCCGACAGCCATCCAGAAAGCCCTCGGCTGACTAAGGTAGCAAGGCCATCTCCAAACAAAGAACGCTAAACCCCAAACCCCAAACCCCAAACCCCAAACCCTAAACCCTAAACCCTCACCCTAAACCCCAAACCCTGAACCCGAAACCCCAAACCCTGGACCCTGAGCCCTGAACCCTGAAACCGAAACCAACCTCTCGTGAGCCCTTGCCCCAGCCACACGTGCGCCTGCATGTACTGCTGTCCGGCTTGCTGCGCGTTCTGCAAGCAGGGTTTCGGGCTTAAGGTTTTAGGGAATGACATGGGAGCTTTCCTATAAAGGATGAGTCCGTGTCACTGGCCATACAGTCTAACTTAGTCAGATTGCTAGACTGGCGACCCTTAAATGACTAAGAGCCCACCCCCACACTCTACCAAAGCCCACAAAAAACACGGAGGGGTGAAGTCCAAAGCTCTGAACACCCCAACCTCCAAAGCTCTAAGCCCTCACCCCCCCTGTCCCGCCCTAAACCCCTAAACCCTAAATCCCTAAACCCTAAACCCTAAACCCTAAACCCCTAAACCCTAAACCCTAAACCATGAATCCCTAAACCCTAAACCCTAAACCCTAAACCCTAAACCCTAAACCCTAAACCCTAAACCCTAGACCCTAAACCCTAAACCCTAAACCCTAAACCCTAAACCCTAAACCCTAAACCCCAAACCCTAAACCCAAGACCGACCTCCGGGGGAAGCCTGGGGACGTGAGCTAGGACAGCTTGTGATGCCCCTTCGCCCGAAAACCTCATCGGCCCATCTTCCTCCAGACTTTGGGTTTCGGGTTTAGGGTTTAGGGTTTAGGGTTTGGGGTTTGGGGTTTGGGGTTTGGGGTTTGGGGTTTGGGGTTTGGGGTTTGGGGTTTTGTAGGGTTTGGGGTTTGGGGTTTGGGGTTTGGGGTTTGGGGTTTGGGGTTTTGTAGGGTTTGGGGTTTTGTAGGGTTTGGGGTTTGGGGTTTGGGGTTTGGGGTTTTGTAGGGTTTGGGGTTTTGTAGGGTTTGGGGTTTAGGGTCTTTAGGGTTTAGGGTTGAGGGTCTAGGGGTCTAGGGTTTAGGGTCAGGTTTAAAACCCCGAAACCTCGGAGCGCCAACCCTGCCCCCCTCCCCCTTCCCCCCCCCCCCCTAAAAACTAAACCCTAAACCCTAAACCCTAAACCCCAGAAATGCACCTGGAAGTACTGCTGTCCAGCCTGCGGGATGCCACGGTTCAGGGTTTAGGGTTCAGGGTTCAGGGTTCAGGGTTCAGGGTTCAGGGTTTAGGGTTTGGTTCAGGGTTCAGGGTTCAGGGTTTAGGGTTTAGGGTTTAGGGTTTAGGGTTTAGGGTTTAGGTGAGGGGGGGGTGGGGGGTCGGTGCACAATTTTTTCATGGAGGACTGCGCCACCCGCAGGACGTAAACGCATCGACCATAGGCTCCTTTGGCAAAACACCTCCAAAACCCCCACCCCCCCCCAAACCCCCCCACCGCCCCCAGCATTAGAATTACAGAGGCTCAAAACCTGGAGTGAGGGCTCTTGAGGGATTAGGGTTCTGGGTATAGGGTGTGGGGTTTAGGGTTAGAGGTTTGAGGGTTGAGAGGTTTCGGGCCTCTTGGGTCGGCGTCCTGAGCCGGAGGCTCCTAAAATTTAGGGTTTAGGGTTCAATTCTTCCAACCCCTATATTAGGCCCCAAACCCTCAACCCTACAGACCCCGACCCGAAACCCAAAACGACAGCAATCCAGGAAGCACACCGTAAACCCGAAACCCTAGACCCTAGACCCAAACCCTAGGCCCTAGACCCTAAACCCTAAACCCTGAACCTGAACCCTAAACCCTAAACCCTAAACCCTAAACCCTAAACCCTGAACCCTGAACCCTGAATCCTAGCACTCCTGACCAGCTCCTCCAAAACCCCAAGCACCACCATCCTCAGACCCTTGAAGCCTAAACCCCCTGAACCTGACTGATTTTAGGGTTTAGGGTTTAGGGTTTAGGGTTTGGGGTTTAGGGTTTAGGGTTTCGGGTTTGGGATTTCGGGTTTCGTGTTTCGGATTTCGGGTTTAGGGTTTAAGGTTTCGTAGGGACCTGAAACCCCACACCCCCGCGGCCCCAAAAGACGCGCCTGCGCCTGGCCCTGGAGGTACTGCTGTCCGGACTGCAGGCATTGGATGACATTGGTGGTTTCTGACATTGGGGTACTGTACCTTATTGGACCCCAAACCCATTTTGGGGACTCTCTATAGGAAGGGCCTTTTTGGGGGTTTGGGTGTTAGGGTTTAGGGACATTAGCTGCTAGACCCTGAACCTCCTGGAACTCTACCTTGGACCCCTAAGGTTGTACCTTGGGTCTGGGGGCCCTTCTTTGAAAGATCCCGAAGGTAATCTAAGGGCCGTACAAGGAGTATACTGAGGGGAACTTCAAGCCGATACAACCTTAGGGGTACGAGTCTCAATCCCTTGATAAGCATTCCCTTGCGTTTTACATACATAGAAGTAATAACTCATTCCTAAGGGGCCTATAGAGCCCTGAACCCTGAACCCATAGTGTGCCAAAGCCGGCTTCTTTTGGGCCAAGCTCCATAGATCCCGCACGCAACACGCGCAGACCCCATGCCAGAACGTCCACAGCTGCCCCAAACCTCGGCGGTTCCCCTGTCGAAAATATCGGTTTAGGGTTTAGGGTTTAGGGTTTAGGGTTTAGGGTTTAGGGTTTAGGGTTTAGGGTTTAGGGTTTAGGGTTTAGGTGGGGGGGGGGGGGGGGCATACGGCCACCTAATTCCAAAATTCCCGATTATAAGAACTAGTAAGACTGCCGAGCCCTGATCTGAACCCTGTACCACCTGCAACCCCAACTGCCTTTGGTCTCGGTCCCCTGAAACCTCAACGCATCAACGACGCAGAAAGCAACCGACGGGCTCTTGCACTCAACTTATCTAAACCCTAAACCCTAAACCCTAAACCCTAAACCCTAAACCCTAAACCCTAAACCCTAAACCCTAAACCCTAAACCCTAAACCCTAAACCCTAAACCCTAGCCACACCCTAAACCCCAATCCGTATACTCCCTCGAACCCTGCACCTGGATGTACTGCGCGGGCTGCCTTTGGTGGGGAGCTCCGGAAGTCTCTGAGGGCTCGGGGTTTAAATTTTGAGTTTAGGGTTTAGGGTTTAGGGTTTAGGGTTTAGGGTTTAGGGTTTAGGGTTTAGGGTTTAGGGTTTAGGGTTTAGGGTTGAGTTTAGGGTGGTGGCTCCCTCTCTGCTCTTTCCTCTGTCTCTCGGCCTCTGTTTCTATCTTGCCCTGCCTCTCCCTGTGGTGGCTGGACGACATCTGTTTACACAACAGAAAACTATGCACAAGAATTTCCCTACTTCTACACATCTCCTCCTACACAAAAAGCCGGGGTGTACATCGGATTACTCAGGTTTTTGGCCACTTCACTACAAACTCAAACCCTATCCCCGAGTTCGGACCAAAAACGGGAAGAACTCCCTGGAAACAGCCCTGCGCCCTCAGGCCCCCTAAACCCTAAACCCTCAACCCTAAACCCTTGCGCCCCCTGAACCCTAACACCTCGACGCAAACTTCACATGCCTCAAGGACCATAGCCCAAGAATCCCCCAACAAGAACAGGACCTTTGGATACCCTAAACCCTCAACACGAAACCCTAAACCCCAAACCCCAAACCCAAGACCCTAAACCCTAAACCCTAAACCCTAAACCCTAAACCCTAAACCCCAAACCCCAAACCCTAAACCCTAAACCCTAACTAAACTCCTCGTGCAAAGCCACCCACTGCTTCCCATGCCTTTGATGCACCCTTCCCGGATGGCTTGGCTCTAGGAGCTCTAGGAGCTCTAGGAGCTCTAGGAGCTCTAGGAGCTCTAGGAGCTCTAGGAGCTCTAGGAGCTCTAGGACCTCTGGGAGCTCTAGGAGCTCTAGGAGCTCTAGGAGCTTTAGGAGCTTCAGGAGCTTCAGGAGCTGTAGGGCTTTGGGAGCTTTAGGAGCTTTAGGGTTTAGGGTTTAGGGTTTAGGGTTGAGGGTTTAGGGTTTAGGGTTTAGGATTTAATCAGGGTGTAGTAGATTTAGGATTTTGGGGGGCTTGAGGGGCTTAAGGGGCGTTAGGGGGCCAAACCCCCAGTCCACAACCCGATCCCGCACAGACGATATTGCCTCGAACCTAAGCCCTAAACCCGAAGCCCTAAACCCTAAACCCTAAGCCCTAAGCCCTAAACCCTAAACCCTACACCCTAAACCCTAACCACCCCCCTAAAACCTCCTAGGCCCTAGCCTAACTCCCTGGGTCCTCTAGACTCTAAACAAGCAAGCCACCAGTTCCGGACCCCGAACCACCCAAAATGGAGCCCCTGGGTTTAGGGTTGAATTAGGGCTCGGGGTTTCGGGTTTCGGGTTTCGGGTTTAGGGTTTAGGGTTTAGGGTTTAGGGTTTAGGGTTTAGGGTTTGGGGTGTGGGGTGTGGGGTGTGGGGTGTGGGGTGTGGGAGCCTTGATGCTCTCGGCAGCCTTGTCTTAGGGCTACAGGTAACCAAACCAAAGTACTTTCCTCCGCAAGCACGGCTAAGTGGACCCTATCTCTTGGGATGTACCCCCCCTTTTGTTAACAGTCCTTGGTGGAGATAATAGTACCCCCGAATATCATCTACGGGGAAAAAAACCAAACCTATCCAACTTCGAACCCTGAACCCTGAACCCTGAACCCTAAAACCTAAACCCTAAACCCTAAACCCTAAACCCTAAACCCTAAACCCTAAACCCTAAACCCTAAACCCTAAACCCTAAACCCTAAACTAACTTCAAAGGTCCAAAAGAGACTGAGCGGCTGCATCGCAGCGGGATACGTCACCTCGGCGGATCAACTCTCGCTTCGGGGGCTTCAGGGTTTAGAGGGTTGAGGGTCTAGGGTTTAGGGTTTACGGGGCTGTAGTTTAGGGTTTAGGGATATCTGGGGTCTCTTGGGCCAACTGCCAGTTGCATGCTTGGGCAAACGAGCATGGCCTTTGAAACATTAAAGAAGCAAGCAGAATCCCCAAGCGCCTCAAGCTTGAGGGTTTAGGGTTAGGGTCTAGGGTCTAGGGTTTAGGGTTTAGGGTTTAGGGTTTAGGGTTTAGGGTTTAAGGTTTAGGGTTTGGGGTTTGGGGTTTAGGGTTTAGGGTCTAGGGTTTAGGGTTTGGGGTTTAAGCCTTAAGCCGTACATCCTGACCCATCAACCCTACCAGGTTCCCAAGTAAAAGGGTGCCCTTTTTCCTACTACTCAGCTTGAATCAACATAAAATGGTATAGTACGGGCACTGCTGGGGGACCTAGACCCGCAACCTTTGAAGCCTACACCCGAAACCCCCTCAACCCGCACCCTAAACCCTGGACAGCCAAATCCCCTAAACCTGCGCCTAAACCCTAAACCCTAAACCCTAAGCCCTAAACCCTATACACCCTATAACCCCTATAAACCCCAACCTTAAACCCCGAAACAGAAAAGCTGTCTTAGTCTTTCAGAGCAGGCCGCAGGCTGAGCCATGACGGTCGGCGACACAAGAGAGCGGATCGAGTGAGGAAAACTTTCGAGGCCGATGGCTGCGGCAGGGGTTTAGGGGTGCTTGGGTTTAGGGTTTAGGGTTCAGGGCTTAGGGTTTAGGGTTTGGTATTTGGGGTTTGGGGTTTAGGGTTTCGGGTTTAGGGTTTAGGGTTTAGGGGTTAGGGGTTAGGGGTATAGGGAGCTTAAAGAGGTTTACGGGGCTAGGGTTTAGGATGTGGGGTTTCGGGTTTTAGGGGGTGTAGTAGGGCGTTAAGGGGCTTAGGGGTTTAGGACTAGGGTGTGGGATGTAGGGCCTCGGCCTAACGGACCCCCCCCCCCCCCCCCCTCAGCACCCTGGTATCTCAGAGAGCAAGCCCCAAAACCCAACGAAACAACTAAAGGTTTACGGTTTAGGGCTTAGGGTTTAGGGTTTTGGGTTTAGGGTTTAAGGTTGTTTGGGCCACAAACCCTGAATTGCAGGGCTTTGGCGACCGGGGGGTGTGGGGAGAGCAGGGTGCAAGGTGAGGGCTTAGGGTTTGGGGGTTTACGGTTCAGGGTTTGGAGCTTGGGGTTTAGGGATGAGAGTTTTGGGTTTCTGAGGTATATGGGATTTATCGGGATTATCGAAAAATCATAGAAGCTCATAAAAGTGGGCTTTATATGGTATAGGGGGTGAGTGTCTAAGGCCCCTTCCGGGCGGCCTGCGAACCTTTTCGAGCGTTGTAGGCAAAACATTGGCGGTGACGCTGCGGTGGCAGCATCGGCGATCGGCACATTCTCCGGCACCTCACACCCTAAACCCTGAACCCTGAACCCTAAACCCTAAACCCTGAAGTTCGTCAAAATCCCAAGGCTTGAAAGATTTCGGGGGCTCCGATATGCCTACTCTTTTCCAGCCGGATCGCCAGTGTTTTTTTTTAAGCAAAACGTGGGGTACGGCCTGCCGGTCAACTTCAGGCCCGCCCCCAACTGGGACGGGCCAGTAATGGAAAAGTGTCGCGCTGTGCGCAGAGGGAAGGCTTTCCATGACTTTAACACCTAAACAGCGAGGTCCTGTGCAATATAGGGGCCTTAATGATTAGGATAGGGTTTTTGGGTGTTTACTATAGGATACTTATAAAGGGACCATAAGGAGATACGAATAGTAGTTCTGTCGACGCATGGATTAGGGCTTGTACAAGGAGTCGGGACTGGGGGGCTGTCGCCCGCAACCCGAGGCACAGCGCAACGTCCCGGACAACGGCATGGCCATGACCTCTTTAGGCTACCAGGGAACCGCCAGCCACACTAGGAATTGAGTGTCCCCTAACCCTAAACCCTAAACCCTGAACCCTAAACCCTAAACCCTAACTAAACCCTAAACTCGCATGCAAGGCTGCTGTATGCTCCCTGGCACCGCCTCAAGGGGACGAAAATCTCATACTTAGCACCAGCCGGAGGACTTCTTCTTCTTGCTCCTGGGCGAGCGTGGGTGCATCAAAGCTTGGGCTTACTTGTAGCATCAGGGGTAATCTTCAGTGATGGCAGAAGTACCCCAACCAAAGTTGTAACTACAGTTTCCATACTTATAGCCCTGCTAAAACCACCCTAAACCCTAAACCCTAAACCCTAAACCCTAAACCCTAAAGCCCTGCTAAACCCTAAACCCACTTATAACTACCCATGAACCTCCTAAGAAGGGGTTATGGGTGTGGCAGGGCCCGGGTCCTCAATAGCTTGGTTGATTCTCCACTAAGGGATATAAGGACGGGCCCCCTAGGTAGCCCCTACATTACCCCTCCTGACCCTAAACCCTAGCCCCTAAACCCCAAAACCCTTTTCAGGGTCCCTCCTTTAGTCCCTGCCCGACATGACCCCTAGCCTCCCGAAATCCCCGACTGCCCTCAATCCCACGCAGAAAGGTTCCCTTAGTCCGCGTCCCGGCTTAGGGTTTAGGGTTTAGGGTAAAGGGGTTTGGGGTTTGGGGTTTGGGGTTTGAGGTTTAGGGTTTTAGGGTTTTAGGGTTTAGGGGGTCGCATACCCAAAGAGGAACCATGGCTTAGAAGTTCCCGGCCAAAGTGCTTCTTGGACTTCTTGCTGCTGCTGCCTCTGCCGCCGGGGTTCTTTTGGGGGCTCAGCTCAAAACACAACAAGGCTTGGGTTTAGGGTTTAAGGGTTTAGGTTTCAGGGTTCAGGGTTCAGGGTTCAGGGTTCAGGCTTCAGGCTTCAGGGTTCAGGGTTCAGGCTTCAGGGTTCAGGGTTCAGGGTTCAGGGTTCAGGGTTCAGGGTTCAGGGTTCAGGGTTCAGGGTTTAGGGTTTAGTGTTTAGGGTTTAGGGTTTAGGGCTTAGGGCTTGGGGTTAGGGGTTACGGGTTAGGGGTTAGGGGTTAGGGGTTAGGGGTTTGGGGTTTGGGGTTTGGGGTTTGGGGTTTGGGGTTTGGGGTTGGGGTTTGGGGCTTGAGATTTGGGGCTTCGGTTGAGGGAGCAAACCCTAAAATCCACAAACCCTAAGATCTCACAAAGCCGTGGCGCAAAGAACAACGACTCTGAGGGCAGCTACATGGTCCCTTAATGTGGGCCCAGAAGAGGGGACCCTTTATATGCCCTGTACACATTAAGGGCCCATGCTTCAGAACCCTTTAAACGGAGGTAAGGGGCCAGATGAAGGGCCCATGTAGCTCCCCTAAGAACGGCGCCCATCACGGGACCTATAAGGGCTTGACCCTGAAGGCCCCCCTTAACCCTAAACCTAAACCTAAACCCTAAACCCTAAACCCTAAACCCTAAATCCGGTAACCCTAAACCCTAAACCCTAAACCCTAAACCCTAAACCCTAAACCCTAAACCCTAAACCCTAAACCCTAAACCCTAAACCCTAAACCCTAAAGCCTAAAGCCTAAACCCAAACCCTAAACCCTAAACCATTTTATCCTCTTAAACCCAATCAGGGAACATACAAGAAGGTCCCAAGGGCCTGCCTAGTAAAGTTTGGGGGTAGAAGGAGGGACCCTAGAAGGCGCCCTTAGTCTTATTGCCCTATATAACCCCCTATATATATATCTCATACAGTCCCCATATACCTAAGTAGGCCCTAAATAACCCCGAAAGAATCCATCAAGGTCCTTTAGAAGGGTTCCTCCTTTAGTCCCCTGACTCAAGCCCAAAACAACCCCAAGGCGGCCTGGCTAGAGTCCCACGCCCTATTTAATTAACTTGTTTTTTTCTTTTTCTTTTTTTGGGGGGGAGGGGTGGAGGAGTTACGAGTCTACTCTTGGTAAGCCAGACCCCCCAACACCCTCCTAAAGTCCTGAGTTCCAAACCCTAAACCCTAAACCCTGATTAAGAAAGGCGGGCGCCGTGCCTGCCAAGGCATTGGCCGTGTCGTTGAAGGTCGCGCTCAGCTTATCTGAGATGCGTTGCTTACTGGCTTTCAGTAGAGAATGAGGGAAGTTCAGGGTATAGGGTTTAGGGCTTGGGGTTCAGGGATTAAGGTGTGGAGGGCTTGGGGCTCAGGCTTAGTCGGGGTCACAGGATATACGGACCGGGGCCTTGTGTTCAGCCCGCCTTAAGAGCCCTAAACCCTAAACCCTAAACCCTAAACCCTAAACCCTAAACCCTAAACCCTAAACCCTAAACCCTAAACCCTAAACCCTAAACCCTAAACCCTAAACCCTAAACCCTAAACCCTAACCCTAAACCCTAAACCCTTTTTTGTGGGCCCTTGTTGCAAAGCCCAAACCCCAAACCCCAAACCCTAAACCCTAAACCCTAAACCCTAAACCCTAAACCCTAAACCCTAAACCCCGAGGGTTCGGGATTTAGGCTCCTGGGACCCAGAGTAGGGCATTATTCCCATCTTATAGGGTTTAGGGTTTAGGGTTTAGGGAGGCTGCACGATCCGGTTTCAAAGAGAACCCTGCAACCCTGACCCTGATTAACCTACCCAACTGCACGAAGACCAGCCACTGGTGAATCCCTTCATGGACGCGACGGCATCCGACATGGCGTGGTGGCCCTGCACGGGCGTGGCTTGTGACTTAGGGTTTAGGGTCTAGGGTTTAGGGTTTGGGGTTGAGGGTTTAGGGTTAGGGTTTAGGGTTGAGGGTGTTGGGGCTTGGGGGTTTAGGGTTGAGGGTTTAAGGTTTAGGGTTAAGGGTTTGGGGTTTGGGGTTTGAGGGTTTGGGGTTGAAGGTGTTGGGGCTTGGGGGCTCCCGGGTTCCAGAGCTCTAGGGGTTTGAGGGTTTTCGGTTCCAGCGCTTTTGGGCTTCTAGGGTTTCAGGGCGCAGGGTTCCCCAGATACATGGCTCTAGGGTTTAAGGTTTAGGGTTTAGGGTTTAGGGTTTAGGGTTTCGAGACCTTTCGCAGATGAAGAGTTTGGTGGGGCTCAGGGGCCCGAAGCTTGAACAATTGGACCCCTTGGAAGACTGCTTCTGAGTAGGCCCAGGTACAAACTCCCAAACCCTTTAGACCCCTAAACCTCTAAACCTCTAAACCTCTAAACCTCTAAACCTCTAAACCTCTAAACCTCTAAACCTCTAAACCTCTAAACCTCTAAACCTCTAAACCTCTAAACCTCTAAACCTCTAAACCTCTAAACCTCTAAACCTCTATCTAAACCTCTAAACCTCTAAACCTCTAAACCTCTAAACCTCTGAACCTCTAAACCTCTAAACCTCTAAACCCTAAACCCTAGACCCTAAACCCTACCCGGTGCATCAGACGTCTGGCCTTCAACCAGTCCATAGACCCGGGTTGCCTACAGCCCCACTCAACCCAAAGCCCTAAGCCCTAAACCCTACATAGCCCTAAACCCTAAATGCACCTCAAACCCTAAAACCTCAACCCTACATAGCCCTAAACCCCTCTAAACCCTTAAATCCCTCAAAGCCCTAAAACCCTCAACCCCCTATAGCGCCTGCGGCTCCGTGTGGCCCTCGGGGTGAGCGGAGACCTGGAACCCTGGCGGCAGGGCCTCGCCCGGTGCAAACCTTGGAGGGCTTAGGGTGTAGGGTTGAGGGTTTGGGGTTTGGGGTTTAGGTTTTAGGGTTTGGGGTTTGGGGTTTGGGGTTTGGGGTTTGGGGTTTGGGGTTTGGGGTTTGGGGGTTCAGGGATTTGGGGCTGAGGGACGGCTTTTTGAGGCGGTTTGGGGGGGTTCCAGGGTTTTAGGGTTTTAGGGTTTTAGGGTTTTAGGGTTTTAGGGTTTTAGGGTTTTAGGGTTTAGGGTTTAGGGTTTAGGGTTTAAGGTTTAGGGTTTAGGGTTTAGGGTTTAGGGTTTAGGGTTTAGGGTTTAGGGTTTAGGGTTTAGGGTTTAGGGTTTAGGGTTTAGGGTTTAGGGTTTAGGGTTTGTTTAGGGTTTAATTAGGGTTTAGGGTTTAGGGTTTACAGGCGCGACCTGCTACAACTGTGTTTAACCCCTAGAAACCCTGAATCGGGTTTGGGGTTACAGCTTTGAGAGGTTTGGTGGTTTCTAGGGCTCAGCATCTCTCATTTAGGGTTTAGGGTTTAGGGTTTAGGGTTTAGGGTTTAGGGTTCAGGGTTTAGGGTTTAGGGTTTAGGGTTTAGGGTTTAGGGTTTAGGGTTTAGGCTTTAGGGTTTAGGGTTTAGGGTTTAGGGCTTTAGGGACCCCCCTCAAGCCTGAGTCGAGGTCCCTGCCACTTGCCCTGAGCGTGGTCCAGAGCCGAGTTGAGCTGCTGCCCAAATTGGTCTGGGCAGTGGGGGGGGACATATTTTGGGAAGGGGGAAGGGCGGCGTGGCGGGGTCAGCCCTACCCTAAACCCTAAACCCTAAACCCTAAACGCGAGACCCTAAACCCTAAGCCCGAACACGACCTTTGGCTAAGCCAGAAAGAGCTGCAAGTCTCAAAAACATCCCAAAAGGCCCCCCGTAACACAAGAAACAGTGCAGGCCTTGGAGTTTCGGGTTTAGGGCCTTGGGGTTCAGGGTATAGGGTTCAGGGTTCAGGGTTCAGGGTTCAGGGTTCAGGGTTCAGGGTTCAGGGTTCAGGGTTCAGGGTTCAGGGTTCAGGGTTCAGGGTCAGAGCTTCAAGGCATTGTGCGGTGCTTCTTCTCTTTGGTTTGGCCAAGGCTGGAGCAACAGCACGGCTGAACCATGGGAAGACAAGGGGATGGCCCTCAAAACCTTCTAAAAAAAATTGGTTGAGGGTTTAGGGTTAGGGTTTAGGGTTTGGTTTAGGGTTTAGGGTTTAGGGTTGAGGGTTGAGGGTTGAGGGTTGAGGGTTGAGGGTTGAGGGTTGAGGGTTGAGGGTTGAGGGTTGAGGGTTGAGGGTTGAGGGTTGAGGATTGAGGATTGAGGGTTGAACCTCGTAAACCCAATAAGGGGAAACATATAATACCCCAAGCGCCTATCCACCACCCGCCACCCACCACCCACCACCCACCACCCACAACCCACCACCCACCACCCACCACCCCAAGTGCCGCTGACGAGCCTAAACTCAGAAGGTTCTCAAGGGACGGGGCTTCCTGAAAAGTAGGTACCTAAAAAACCTTAGTGAAGCTGAGGGAGTAGTAGGGAGTAGTAGGGAACCTTTAAAAAAAAACAAAAAAATAAGGGTTTGGGGTTTAGGGTTTAGGGTTTAGGGTTTAGGGTTTAGGGTTTAGGGTTTAGGGTTTAGGGTTTAGGGAAACTATGCCCGACTCACAAAGTCGAGTCTCTGAAGTTGCTCACCACCATCGACTGGGCCTTCGGCGGCAGGATCAGGGTTTAAGGGTTTGGGGTTGAGGGTTCAGGGTTCAGGGTTGAGGGTTTAGGGTTTAGGGTTTAGGGTATAGGGTTCAGGGTTTAGGGTTTAGGGTTTAGGGTTTAGGGTTCAGGGTATAGGGTTCAGGGTTTGGGGTTTAGGGTTTAGGGTTTAGGGTTTGGGGCTTAGGGTTTAGGGCTTAGGGCTTAGGGTTTCGGGCTTTCCTATGACAGCATGTCCGGAATCGACTCAACTCGGAAGGTCCCAAACCCCGTAAGCCCCCCAACCCGAAGCCTACCCCAAGCCCTCGACCTACTTGGAGGTTCAAGGGGTACCTTATCTCAAACTATGACTGCACTTGTAAGCCCCCTACGTGTTAAGTAACAGGTACAAGTGCCCATGAACCTCGAAGTAGATCGATCTCCTCTCAGCCTTGAAGCCACAACCCCAACCAAAACCGCAAGCCTGAACCCACGGCCCCCTCCCCTCAAAAGCCGAAAAATTTGAAAAAAAAAAAAAAAAAGACTTAAGTAGCCGAAACCCCGGACCCTTAACCTCTTAAACGCCCAAACCCTAAACCCTAAACGCTAAACCGCGGACGGCCTGCTGCAGGTTGCTGCCAACATTCTGCGCGCGCGGAAGCCGAGGGGGGGAGGGGGACAGGGATCAGTTTCAGGTTCAGGATTTCGGGGTCTAGAGTTTAGAGTTTAGGGTTTAGGGCTTGGGGGGGAGGGGGTGACTGGGTGGCGATAAGCAGGGTTAACAGCAAGGTAACCTGCCACCTAGCGAAGGGAGCTCTATCATTTCTTATTCCTACCCACGAGCCTTGGATAAACCCTATACCCCAAACCCCAAACCCCAAACCCTTAGCGCTTTGACCCCTTCACCCTGAGCCCCAAAACCCCGAAACCCCGAAATCCCAGAACCCCAAAATCTCAAAACCGCAAAACCCCAAAACTCCAAAACCCCAAAATCCCAAAAACTCCAAAACCTCAAAACCCCAAGACCCCAAACCCAAAACCGCAACACCCCAAAACCCCAAAATCCCAAAACTCCAAAGCTTCAAAACCCTACACCCCCCAAACCCCGAAATCCCCAAACCCCAAGACCCTAAAGCCCGAGGCCTAAACACTAAACCCTAAACCCCAATCCCTGAACCCTAAACCCTAAACTCTAAACCCTAAACCCCAACCCCGGACCCTGTACCTTCAATTGCTCATATAGGAGGTTCAGGGTTTAGGGTGTAGGGTTGAAGGCTTCGGGCTTCCTATACAGTGCTACAGCTTAGGCTTAGGGCTTAGTCAGCGTGTGCAACACGGTAAAAAAACCTAAAGGCGCCAACTACACAGCAAACAGCGGCTGGCCAGATCGTTGCGATCTGATCATGCAGGTTTTAACTCTCCAGCTTTCAGGAACTTGAGCGCCTTCCAACCCCTAAACCCCTTTAGGGTCTAGGGCTTAGGGTTTAGGGTGTAGGGTGTAGGGTTGAGGGTTTAGGGTCCTAAACCAGGGTTTTGGGTTGAGGCTTTCGGCTTGAAGGCTTCAATCCGGAACCTGGAAGCAAGTTGAACCCTCTCATGAGACCTTGACCCTCCCTCACCACCCCCCAGCAACGCGCCTGCATGTACTGCTGTCCGGACTGCAAGCAGGGGGAGATCACGTGGACCCTGACCCTAACCCTGAACTCTCCCCCTAAACCCCAAACCGTAAACCCTGAACCCTAAACCCTGAACCCTGAACCCTAAGCCATAAACCCTAAACCCTAAACCCTAAACCCTAAACTTAAAGCGCCCCTCGAGTCTGGGCACGCTCCGTAGCTCCTAACGCACAAACCCCCAGACTGCGCTGTGACGCCAAAAGCTATGAAGACCCTACAACTTCTAAAGTTCGGTTTGGGGTTTAGGGTTAGGGTTTCGGGGTTTAGGGCTTAGGGTTCAGGGTTTAGGATTGAGGGTTTGGGGATTTGAATGCTACCTCTTACAACGCTGACTCTCCGCTCTCCCTTGTGAATTCAGGGCTTCGTCTCGCAGTGTCCGCCTGAAGCATGTGGGGAGTTTGGCCCCTTACCTTCTTTAAAGGGTTCTGATTTATGGGCCCTTGGGTTGTATATTTCAAGGGCCCACATTTATAGACCCCCCCCCCCCGCCCCTAAACCCTAAAACACGCACGACAGCAATCCAGAAAAGCCCTCAGACGAGAAAGGTAGCAAGGCCAGCTGAGCGATCTCTCAGCCTTAACGATGCAATCCTAAACCCTAAAACCTAACATGAGCAACAGCACACTTAGGGCTCAAACCCTAAACCCTAAGCCCTAAGCCCTAAACCCTAAACCTTAAACCCCAAACCCTAAACCCTAAACCCTAAACCCTAAACCCTCAACCTCACCCCTCACCCCTCACCCCTCACCCCTCACCCCTCACCCCTCACCCCTCACCCCTCACCCCTCACCCCTCACCCCTCACCCCTCACCCCTTCACCCCTCACCCCTTGCCAGACGTGCGCCTGCAGGTACTGCTGCCCGGCTTGCTGGGCGTTCTGCGAGCAAAGGAGAGGATTAGGGGGACCCTTGGGGATATAGACCCTCTCAATAAGATCCTTGTTTAAGAGAGCCAGAAGAGGGTTAAGAAGGGTTCCCTTTTAAGGACACATGGAGGGGTGTCCTCAACTATGGGGGGGGGGGGGGGGCATGCTGAAACCCGGCCCCAAGCTGTAAGGAATACAGGGACTCATCTTTGGCTGTCCGAAACTGTGAGCCACCGGCCCTAGACTACGATCGATATACTAAAGGGGAGACCGGTAAGGAACCCTAACCCTAAACCCTAAACCCTAAACCCTAAACCCTAAACCCTAAACCCTAAACCCTCAAGATGCTCCAGCCTATATTTACGAAAGCCCGCAAAAAAGACAAAAAAAAAAAAAGACCCTGCGCTGAAATCTGCGACCCTTTGAGCCCTCAAGACCTCAGGCAATCGAACGGTGTACAGGGTTTAGGAGTTTGGAGTTTAGGGTTTAGGGTTTAGGGTTTAGGGTTTAGGGTTTAGGGTTTAGGGTTTAGGGTTTAGGGTTTAGGGTTTAGGGTTTAGGGTTTAGGGTTTAGGGTTTAGGGTTTAGGGTTTAGGGTTTAGGGTTTAGGGTTAGGGTTCCCGCTTTCCTGGACAACTCCGGTGCCTGGAACCAAAAGGGCCACGCGGGCTCGATTTTTGTTTGGCTCCCCGGAAAACCGTGCTTTCCAGCCACCATTGAACTCCTCCTTCGGAATTTGGGGGAGTCGAGCCCTAAACCCTAAACCCTAAACCCTAAACCCTGAACCCTAAACCCTAAACCCTAAACCTTAAACCCTAAACCCTAAACCCTAAACCCTAAACCCTAAACCCTAAACCTTAAACCCTAAACCCTAAACCCTAAACCCTAAACCCTAAACCCTACCCCCTAAACCCTAAACCCTAAACCCTAAACCCCCTCTCATGACTGAGCCCACAAGCCCCTCCCGCACCCCCCCCCACTCCAAAGAAACGCGCCTGGAGGTACTGCTGTCCGGCCTTCAAGCAGGGGATCACATGACACCCGCCAAAGGCCCAAAGACCCTAAGGGTCTGGGGTTTAGGGTTTAGGGTTTAGGGTTTAGGGTTTAGGGTTTAGGGTTTAGGGTTTAGGGTTTAGGGTTTAGGGCTTGGGGTTTAGGGTTTAGAGCCTTTGGGAAGCCGACCCCAAGGCTCCCTCTACCCTAAACCCCGATTCTGGGTAAAGATGCCGAAGACAAAGCCCTCTTAGTAGCCCAGCAACCATATTCTAATAAGGGCACCACGTTTTTTACCCTATTTTGGGTTTAGGGTTTAGGGTTTAGGGTTCAGGTTTTAGGGTAATAAGGACACTCTTTGTGGGGTTGGGGGAACCCAGGATCCAAAAAGAAAGGGTAAAGGCTACCAGTGGGCTACCAAGCCCTCAACACCCTGTGCTCCGAAAGTCGAACGCCCTGAAGGCCCCACACCTGGGCTTTAAACGCTCCCACGTTCCACACGCCTTACGCCCGCACCCTACCCTAAGCCCGAAACCCTACAAACCCAAAACTCAGAACCCTAAACCCTACAAACCCTAAACCCTAAACCCTAAACCCTAAACCCTAAACCCTAAACCCTAAACCCTAAACCCTAAACCCTAAACCCTAAACCCCCCACAAAAACCCTGAACCTTAAGGTTGAAACCCGTGTCAATCCTCCCCTTCCCCCCGCCCCCTAAAAGGGATGCGCCTGCGCCTGGCCCTGGAGGTACTGCTGTCCCGACTGCAAGGAGGGGAGTTTAGGGTTTAGGGTTTAGGGTTTAGGGTTTAGGGTTTAGGGATTAGGGTTTAGGGTTTAGGGCTTAGGGCTTAGGGCTTAGGGCTTAGGGCTTAGGGCTTAGGGCTTAGGGCTTAGGGCTTAGGGCTTAGGGCTTAGGGCTTAGGGCTTAGGGCTTAGGGCTTAGGGTTTGGGGTTGGAAGTTTAGGGTTTAAGGTCCTGTAACCAACAACCCAAAAGGCCTCTCAGAAGACTAGTGAAGCCGCTCCATTCTTGGGTAAGCTCCACCGATCCCAAACGCAAACAAGCCCAGACCTTATGTCGCAAAGTCCAGCAAGGCACTTCTTCAGACTTTGGGGCTTAGGAGTTTAGCGGCTCTACAGCGAAGATCTTTAGTAGTTCATTGTAGCAACCCAGTGAGTCCAAAGACCGAACGACCCTTCATTAAGGAATAGTACCTTGAAGTTCCTCATTCAAAGTGGGGTACGTTCTTCAGGTTTAGGGTTTAGGGACGAGGGCTTCGGCTGCATTGGGTGTCTAGGAACAGCATCAAGCACGGTGAGACAAGAATTCTGGACCCTAAACCCTAAACCCTAAAGCCCGAGACTCGCCCCAATGCCCCAACCGTAGTGGCTCTCAGTTGGTTTGGCCGTTAGAAGGATGTCTTAGGGTTCAGGGTTTAGGGTTTAGGGTTTAGGGTTTAGGGTTTAGGGTTTAGGGTTTAGCAGAAGGTACCAAATGCCGAAATTCCCCCTATTAGGCACTAGTCTGACGGTCGTGCCCTGATCTGAGCTCTGTACCTCCTGTTGTTGCCCCAACTGCTTTTACGTCCCCGTGCCCTGAAAAAACCAAACGTATCAACGGGGCAGCACTTGGCTGCCACTGCATCCAGGGCGCTCAGATTATTCAGTAGGGGATAGGATTAGGGGGACCCTTGGGGATATAGACCCTCTGAATAAGGTCCCTGTTTAAGGGAGCCAGAAGAGGGTTAAGACGGGGTTCCCTTTTAAGGGTCCCCCTTATCCTACCTGGAATTCAGTGGGGAGCACTTGCCGAAGCACTTCTCGAGATCGTGGATCTTTACACGACCTCTTCTTTGTGATCTTGTCCCAGATGCGGACGGCCGTCTAAATCTACTTCTTGCTGATCTCGGAGAGCTGGGAGGGAGCCCTAAACCCTAAACCCTAAACCCCAAACCGAATTCTCGAACTGCTGCTCCCAAAGCTTGGCCTGCTGCTTCACGCTGAGCTTGGATGCCGCCATCTCTGATGCGCACTCAAACGACCCGTGGAGCCCCACACTAGACAGCCTGGACCCTGGACCCTAAACCCTAAACCCTAAACCCTAAACCCTAAACCCTAAACCCTAAACCCTAAACCCTAAACCCTAAACCCTAAACCCTAAACCCTAAACCCTAAACCCTACCTAAACCCTAAACCCTAAACCCTAAACCCTAAACCCTAAACCCTAAACCCTAAACCCTAAACCCTAAACCCTAAACCCTAAACCCTAAACCCTAAACCCTACCCAAGCCCTAAAAACCCTGCACCTGGACGTACTGCACGGGCTGCCTTTGGTGGCGAGCTTTGGGATCTCTGTGGGCTTAGGATTTCACCTGGCTTTTCGGGTTGACACTGGCTCTCCTCTCTTCCCTTCCCTTCTCTTCGCTTCTCTTCTCCTGTCCGCTTTGCTTCTCTTCTCTGCTCTCTCCCTCTCTCTCTCTCTCTCTCTCTCTCTCTCCCTCGGAACCTCTCCGTTCTCTGTGTCTCCATGCGTCCGACTCTCTATGCTGTAGTTGTATGTCTGATAACTTAGGCTAACTAACCGAAACCTCCAAAAATGTCGCAAAGAAACCCTCCCTGAACACCCAAAACCACCTAATTAAGACCCTCAACCCCCGACCCAAACTTAGCTAAAAGTCCCCGAGAAAGACCAAAGGCGTTAGATCAAGCCGCCCCATGCGCAACCTAGCGCTTCCAACTTGAGCTGTTTTAGGGTTGGAGGTTAAGGGCTTTTGGGGGTTTAAGTTTTTGGGGTTTTAGGAGCTTAGGTTTTTTGGGGGTTTAGTGTTTGTTCTGGGTTTAGGGTTTAGGGTTTAGGGTTTAGGGTTTAGGGTTTAGGGTTTAGGGTTTAGGGTTTAGGGTTTAGGGTTTAGGGTTTAGGGTTTAGGGTTTAGGGTTTAGGGTTTAGGGTTTAGGGTTTAGGGTTTAGGGTTTAGGGTCGGCTCCTTAAGAATCCAGGTCACCGAACAACAACCCACTTGCCACCAACCACACTTAAGCGGACCCGACTGACTTGGAGAGGGCCCAAAGAAACCGAGCGGCTGCATCGCGGCGGGATACGTCACCTTGGCGATTGAGTTATGGTTTAGGGCTTAGTGTTTAGGGTTCAGGGTTTAGGGTTTAGGGTTTAGGGTTTAGGGTTTAGGGTTTAGGGTTTAGGGTTTAGGGTTTAGGGTTTAGCGCGTCCGGGGCTGGAGTCGGCAACTCAGCAACGCACCCCGACAAGAAGTAGGAACAAGCTGCGAGGCTCGCGTAAACGGGCACGGCCTTCGAAATGCCCTAAACCCTAAACCCTAAACCCTAAACCCTAAACCCTGAACCCTGAAGGCCCGAACCCAAAACCCAAAACCCTAAGCCCTAGTGTACTTCAACCCAAAAGCCAAAGCCGTACATTCCCCTCAACCCTGAAACCTTGAACCCTCAAAACCTAAACCCTTACCGCCCCCCCCCCACCCCAGCCCTCCCAACCCCCCGCCCCCCACCCCCACCCCCACCCCCCCCCCAAAAAAAAAAAAAAAAAAAACAATAGAAGGATAAAACATTGAAAACACAAGCACCAAAAAAAACACATGCACCCTCAAGAGCCCTAAACCCCAAACCCTACAAACCCTAAGCCCTATCAACCCCAAATCCCAAACCCCGAAACAGAAAAGCTGTCAATCCCTAAACCCTATAAACCCTAGAAACCCTGTGAACCCTATAAACCCGAAACCCCGAAACAGAAAAGCTGTCAATGAGAGCCAGCCGCAGGCTGAGCCATGACGGTCGCAACACCAGGAGGCAGATCGAGTGAGGAAAACTTTCAAGGCCGATGGCTGCGGCAGGGGTTTAGGGTTTAGGGTTTAGGGTTTCGGGTTTAGGGTTTCGGGCTTAGGGTTTAGGGTTTAGGGTTTAGGGGTAGAGTAGGTCTTAAAGAGGTTTACCGGGCTAGGGTTTAGGATGTCGGGTTTGGGGGTTTAGGGGGTGTAGGTTGGGGTTTAGGGTGTGCCCTAGACCGTTGAACCTATATCCTAGGTCGCAAAATGGATTTGTAAAGGAAGCCTAAACCCTCAAGCCTCAAGGGGGATATACCTAATCCCCATGAAAAAAGGGCGGGTTAAGGGGTTTCGAGTTTAGGCCTTGGGGTTTAGGACCCTAAACCCGTTAAAACAAAACCCTGAACCGCAAACCCTAAACCCTAAAAACGACTTTTCTTCGAGCGCTGTAGGCAAAACATTGGCGGTGACACTGCGGTGAGAGCATCAGCAATGGGCACATTCTCCGGCATCATCAAATCCTCTAAGGTTTGGAAATTGGGGTTAGAAAGGGGTTCAGAGCCTCGGGGTTCACGCCAAACTGATCTTTTACAGCCAGAGACCGCCATTTTCAAGCGAAATATGTGGTACAGCCTGCCGGTCAACTTCATACCCGCCCCCAACTGAGACGGGCCATGGTGGAAAAGTGTTGCGCTGTGCCCAGAGTTAACGGTTTACGGTTTAGGGCCTAGGGTTTAGGGTTTAGGGTTTAGGGTGCATAGGGCTGCTGCACACAGCGCAACGTCCCGGACAACGGCATGGCCATGACCTTTTCAGGCTACCAGGGAACCGCCAGCCACACCATGCCAGAGCCCCTCGGTGGCCGAGGGGCCCCCTACGAAAAACACTAAGCCCTAAACAACCCTATCCGCAACGCCACGCAGGGGCTGCTTATGCTCCCTGGCACCGCCTCAAGATCGACAATCTCATACTTAGCACCAGCCGGAGGACTTCTTCTTCTTGCTCCTGGGTGGTGTGCACCCCGAAACCCTAAGCCCTAAACCCTAAACCACTAAACCACTCAACCTAAACCCTTGGCTTAGGGCCTGGGGGCTTAGGGTTTGTCGGGATTCACGGTGCATCTGGAGATTTAGGGTTTGGGGTTTACGGTGTGGGGTTTGGGGTTTACGGCGTGGGGTTTGGGGTTTACGTTGTGGGGTTTGGGGCTTAGGGTTTAGGGTTTAGGGTTTAGGGTTTAGGGTTTAGGGTTTAGGGTTTAGGGTTTAGGGTTTCCTCCTGGGGTGGGTTTGAGTCTTTGGCTTCTTCGGGTGCATCCAGGTGAAGGGGCTTTGGGGACATTGGGGGTTCTGGGGATGAAGGATTCTTGAGGGTTGAGGGTTTGGGGTTTAGGCTTTAGGGTTTAAGGTTTAGGGTTTAGGGTTTAGGGTTTAGGGTTTAGGGTTTAGGGTTTAGGATGTCGGGATGTTAGGATTCAGTGGTTTAGGGCCTAGCGTTCCGCGCCAAAACCCAAGCCCCCTCGAAATCCCAAGCACCCTGCGCCAGGGGCGGGGGGCGGGGGGTGTGGCCTGCTGACTGCAGGACGAACTACCCAAAAGAGGCACCCTAAACCCTAAACCCTAAACCCTAAACCCTAACTTAGAGTTCTCCCCACCAAGGTTCTTCTTGGACTTCTTGCTGCTGCTGCCTCTCCGCTGGGCAGGTTCCCCATGCCAGGGTTTAGGGTTTAGGGTTTAAGGTTTAGGGTTTAGGGTTTAGGGTTTGGGGTTTGGGGTTTGGGGTTTGGGGTTTGGGGATTGGGGTTTGGGGTTTGGGGTTTGGGGTTTGGGGTTTAGGGTTTGGGGTTTGGGGTTTGGGGTTTAGGGGTTAGGGGTTAGGGGTTAAGGGGTTAGGGGTTAGGGGTTAGGAGTTATATAGGGGTTTGGGGTTTGGGGGTTAGGGGTTTGGGCTTTGGGGTTTGGGGTTTGGCGTTCAACCCTGCACCAAGTAATCTTACGTGAACGTCTCAACCAGCTTGACAAGTCAACGCTCTGATCGCCTGATCCCTATGCCTCACCCCCATGGTTCATACCCTAAACCCTAAACCCTAAACCCTAAACCCTTAATTCAGGGTTGAGGAGGTTCTGGATTCGAGGGTTTTAAACCCTAAACCTTAAACCCTAAACCTTAAACCCTAAACCATAAAGGGCCCTCCAGCATGCGATTGCCCTGGGATCTCCAGGCCGGAACCCTCGGCCCCAGACTCTGGCACACGACACCTCTCAAGCCCAAAACAACCCAAAGCCAGCCGGCTTAGGGGTGGATGGTGCGGGGTTTAGGGCCTAGGGCTTGGGGCCTATAGGGCTTAGGCTCTTGGGTTTAGGGCTTAAGGTTTAGGGTTTGGGTTTTAAGGGTTTAGGGTTTAGGGTTTAGGGCTTAGGGCTTAGGGTTTTGGGTTTTTTGGGTCTCCTTGCACCGCCTTAACCCGAATCCCCCAACGACGTGCTGCCGCGCCGGCACCTGCCAGAGCGTTGGCCGTGTCGTTGAAGGTCGCGCCCAGCTTATCTGAGATGCGTTGCTTGCTGGCTTTTGGTAGCGAATGAGGGGAGGTACCTTACATCCCCCCTAAGGGACTCCTATATGAACCCTTTTAGGGATTACATGGGGTACCTCACTCCCCTGATCCCTTGTTGTGATGTTGCCCTTTATACCTAACCGTCCTTAATGGGGAGTATAGTAGGAGGTACCATAGTCCTGTGATTGGTGCTGGCTTTACGGTTGAGGGTTCAGGGTTAAAGCGGCAAAGGTTTCGGGTTTACCCTTCTCCCTCCTGTCGCTCATTGGCGGGTTTAAGTTTTAGGGCTTAGGGTTCAGGGTTTGGGGTTTAGGCTAAGGCTTCTCTGTCCCCCCCCGTGGTCCGTGCTGTTTTGAGGGTTCACAAGCAGGGTTTGGGGGGGGGGTTAGCATGAGGGGGGGGGGGGGGATACCATTGAGGGTGGGTCGATTACGCGGAACGCGGCGCATATAGACCCTTTAAGCCTTTAAGGGCGTATATCGGGGGGGGTACCTCACTCCCTCATTCCCTACTTAGTTGGCCTGAAAGAGCCCAAAAACTTTTTTTGCGGGCAACCCTTCGCAAACCCCCTGAAAAAATACCCTGAACCCCTTGAAGTGCTTGAACCCTAAACCCTAAACCCTAAACCCTAAACCCTAAACCCTAAACCCTAAACCCTAAACCCTAAACCCTAAACCGCTTCGGCTGCACGTTCCGGTTCCAAAGACTAATCAACCCACCCCCAAACAACTACACAACCGCACAAAGACCAAGCCACTGGTGAAGCCCTTCATGGACGCGACGGCATCCGACATGGCGTGGTGGCCCTGCATGGCTGTGGCTTGGGCTCTACGGGTTAGGGCTGGGGGTTCCAGGGCTGTACTTGGAGGTGCAGGGGTACTTATGACCCCACTTATAAGTTTAGAGGACTGTGTGGCTTCTAAGCACAGTTAATAATTGGGGTTATGAGTACCCTGAACCTCCAAGCGGGGTTCTGAAGTTCGAGGGCTTCTAGGGCTCTAGGGCGGAGCTGCTTCTATACCCAAGACCATACCCCCCTTACACCCCTTATCCCCCCTGTATAGCTCCCTTATACCGCCGCTTATACCCCCGCTTATGCCCCCCATATACCCCCTTTATGGGCCACCTGAATACCCCCCTATACCCGAAAGCCTGAACTACAGGCCTGTGCTGCGTGGGGAGGGCTAAGCGTTTTTTTAATTAGGACGAGGCGCCACACGGCATACGGGTCGGGCCCTAAACCATCCCAAACAAAACCCAACCTCTTAAAGTCCCCTAAAACCCTAAACCCCTACAGCCCTGGCTCTAAAACCCTGGTGACACCTCCTGAAGCCCTTCACCTCAACCCCTCAACCCTCAACCCTAAACCCTAAACCCTGAACCCTGAACCCTGAACCCTTAACCCTGAACCCTACAACTCCCCTTCGCGCGCCTGCGGCTCCGTGTGGCCCTCGGGATGAGAAGTGATCTGGAACCCGGGCGGCAGGGCCTCGCCCGGTGCAAACCTTGTTGGGGTCGGAGGACGCTGGGGCTCTAAACCCTGTATTTGATGGTATGTTGGTGTCCCTTTTTGGATTGGTGTTGGTGATTGTGTTGGTGGCTTCAGGGTTTGGGGGTTTAGGGGCTTCTTGGGGGGGGTCTCTTAGGGCCGAGGGCTTCGGGCTCGGGGTTGGGAATTGCCCCTCAAGCACCTGCAGTTTAGGGTTTTTTTCGTTGGACTCACCAGGTAAAGTGGGACGTTGTCGTCCTCCAGCGGTGGAACGCAACTGTGGTCCCTTCAGCCCCCTCACTGTTTCAGTATTGACGCAGCTTCTTCCCCCGTCAGATGTAGTACTTGCGAAGTCGACAAAGTTCACCCCTCCTCCATTGTGACTTCCGCCCACACTTTCCAGCCGGCAAACTGCAGGCGACACCCTAAACCCTAAACGCTAAACGCTAAACCCTAACCCTAAACCGTAACCCTAAACTCCTAAACCCTTGGGACTCATGGTGGGAGGCTCTACCTAAACCCCTGGATCCTGCGTTGAGAACCGAAGACCTTGCTTCTTTTTTGGAGGCTACCGAAGGATTGTTAAGGATCTGTTGAAGCATCTGAAGGGTTTACAGCAAAATAACAACCCAACCTCCGAGAACAAGTTTGGGGCCCTAAAGGAAACCGCGCAGACCCGAAACCCTAAATCCTAAACCCCAAACCCTATTCCCTAAACCCTAAACCCTAAACCCAAAAACCCTAAACCCTAAACCCTGAAAGTATACGCGATGAAGCTGCAGGTTTCTGGAGGTGTAAACCTCAACAAAAACAACCAAGGGGCCTGCAACCCTGAAACCCGAAGTAAATCGGGTTTAGGGTTTAGGGTTTCGGGTTTAGGGTTTAGGGTTTAGGGTTTAGGGTTTAGGGTTTAGGGTTTAGGGTTTAGGGTTTAGGGTTTAGGGTTTAGGGTTTAGGGTTTAGGGTTTAGGGGTAGGGTTTAGGGTTTAGGGTTTAGGGTTTAGGGTTTAGGGTTTAGGGTTTAGGGTTTAGGGTTTAGGGTTTAGGGTTTAGGGTTTAGGGTTTAGGGTTTAGGGTTTAGGAAGTACATCGAGCTCCCCCAAAAATCCACGGTCGAGGTCCCTGCCACTTGCCCTGAGCGTGATCCAGGGCCGACCCAAGTTGCTGTCCAAATTGGTCTGAGCGCAGGACCCTAAACCCTAAACCCTAAACCCCGGGGCTATGGACTGAGGGGCACTTGCACTTCTTTTAATTTTTGGGGGTGGTGTGTGGGGAGGGGCGTGTAGACATGCCTAAATCCGAAGCCCTATGTAAGCCTAGACTCTAGACCCTAGACCCTAGACCCTACTTGAACGCTCACGGTACTTAGTAACCAATTATAACCCCAAAAAAAGAAGGTAGGGTTAGGGGTTGGGGTTTAGGGCCTTGAGGTTTAGAGCTTCAAGGCTTTACCTGGCCCTGTTTTCCCTGGTTCCTTCGCCGGGGGAGGGGGGATGAGGTATCTTAGTTCCTCCTATATCTACCTTTAAGGGGTTCTATAGCGCACCTCGTTCGATGAAGAAGGTGGCCCGAAGCCCTAACCCCGAAACGCAAACAAAGGTTAGGATTCAAGCTCTGCTCTACGCAATCACCGTCTACACTGCCGCGACAAGTGCCCCTGAAGAACACTGCTCAAACCGACTTGTTGCCTGAAGCCCAAAGCCCTCAACCGTAAGCCTTACTAGGCTGCCCAGTAACCAAGGCTTAAAAAGGGTGCCCTTTTTTGCTTAAAGGGGTTTAGAAGGGAACCTAAAGTCCCCAAAAAGGGAATAAGGGTACTACTGGGCATCTTAGCTTAAAGCCTCAACTCTCCACCCGACTCACAGTGTCGAGTTTCTGAAGTTGCTCACCACCATCGACTGGGCCTCCGGTGGCAGGTTTGGGGTTTAGGGTTTGGGGTTTAGGGTTTAGGGTTTAGGGTTAAGGGTTCAGGGTTAAGGGTTCAGGGTTCAGGGTTCAGGGTTAAGGGTTCAGGGTTCAGGGTTCAGGGTTCAGGGTTTAGGGTTTAGGGTTTAGGGTTTAGGGTTTGGGGTTTGGGGTTTAGGGTTTAGGGTTTAGGGTTTAGGGTTTAGGGTTTAGGGTTTAGGGTTTAAGGTTTAGGGTTTACGGTTTAGGGTTTCGGGTTTAGGGTTTAGGGTTTACGGTTCAGGGTTCAGGGTCTAAAGTTTACAGTTTAAAGGCTTCGGGTCTGGAGCCCAACCCCTGGTATATCTCTTATATACCCTATACAAAACCCTTATTTTTGACCCACCGGAACTAAACCCCAAAAAAACCAAACACCCCGAACCCCCCAAACCCCCACGTGGCCTACAACCTAAACCTTTAACCCCTCAACCCGTAAATCCCAAGCTCTACACTCTAGACCCTCCCAAATCCCCACATACCCCCAAACCCCACGCCGCTAAAATCCCCAAACCCTAAACCCCCAAGCCCCCAAATCTGAGTCTTCCACTGACTAGCCTTTGGGTTCTAAACCCTAAACCCTACACCGTTAACTCTAAACCCGAAAACATAGGGTTTAGAGTTTAGGGATGGTTCAGGGCAACCTACGTATTCACCCTGTAGACACAGAAGACCTCCGAAACTCTAATCCCTCAACTCGAAACCCCCCCCCCAGAGCCCCCAAACCCCAGGCCCTAAACTAAACCCCTGGCAGCACCCCAAAACCCCCAAACCCTAAACCGTAAACCCGTAAACCAAATCCCCAATCCCTAAATCCCCAATCCCTAAACCCCTAAACTGCATGAAAGCCTGCTGCAGGTTGCTGCCGACGTTCTGCGCGGAAGAGTGGAAGAGTGGGGGAAGGAGGGGGGGCTGTTGCAACAGTTTTGGGGTGGTCTAGGGTTTAGGGTGTATAGGGAAAAAGATCTTAGTGAAAGAGCTTAGAATCCTACTTCCAGCTTCCTCCGGGCAAATCCTGTGAAACCCAAAATCCCTATGACCCAGTACCGGATTCATGAACCCCGCACCCTTCATCCCGAGACCCACCAGCAGGCCCCCCCCCGCATGATTTTTAGGGTTTTTATAGAAATTGTATAGGGGTTTGTGTCCGAAGTTTTGCGCGGCTTTGTTTTTTTTTTGAACTTTTGGCTGAAAAAGTTGGCGCGCCAAAAAATGAAGAAAAGAAGCCCTGCTTTTTCAGTATTTTTTCATGATGAAGGCCCCCAAAACGGTCAAATGTCACTAAAAATCGTCACTTGAGGTTCCCCCAATGGTCAAAAACCGTAAAAATTGCCATGAGCGAACAAATTCCCTGTGTTTCTGGCGAAAATCCCTATGTTTTGGCCTTAATTGAGGCTTGGTGAAGGCCCACCATAATGGTCAAAAATCAAGAGAATGTGCCACTTCGGTTATGTTTTTTGGCCTGAATTGAGAGTTTGTGAAAGCCAGAAATTGCTCAAAAAACACCAACATTTGCCATGTGAGACTGTTCCAAGGCCGCCAAACTAGCGAAAATCCCATGTTTTTGGCCTGAATTTCAAGATTTGCGAAGGCCCCAAAATGGTCAAACATCGACGAAACTTTGCCATTTGGGTGTTTCCCGATGCCGCCCCAAACTAGCGAAGATCCTCATGTTCTGGCCTTAAATTGTGAAAGCCCAAGATGGTCGAAGATCACCAAACTTGGCCATTTCGGGTTCTTCAAGGCCGCCATTGTGAACGCCCAAATGGCACAACAAAAAGCACGAACAAATACCATTTAGGGGTGTTCCAAGGCCGGCAAATTAGCGAAAATCCCTATGTTTCAACATGTAGAAAAGGCCAGAAAACGCAAAAACGATGTGATATGGCTTGTCTCTCCACTCTCCAGGATTGGTGCTTTCAGGAACTTGACTTCGTCTTAGGGTTTAGGGTTCAGGGTTTGGGGTTTAGGGTTTCGTGTTCCCCTAAACCCTAAACCCTAGACCCTAAACCCTAAACCCTAAACCCTAAACTTCTCGCGGCTTTCAGCATGAAGCTTGTGGGGTTTGGCTTCCTGTCCCCTGCAGCTTCGGCCCCAAACGACAGCAATCCCGAAAGCCCTCGCATGAGAAAGGTAACGGAGACGTCCCTAAACCCCTAACCTTAAACCCTACCCCAAAACCCTAAACCCTACCCCGAAACCCTAAACCCCAAAACCCTAAACCCTAAACCCTAAACCCCTAAACCCTAAACCCTAAACCCTAAAGCGAAACTTAGCGAGAGAAACCCGGAGACTCAAACGGCCTATGTGCCCTCTTATGATCCCGGGCCCCAGGACGCGCGCCTGCATGTACTGCTGGCCGGCTTGCTGTGCGTTCTGCAAGCAGGGGCTGACATGCGGGTTTAGGGTTTAGGGTTTCGGGTTTAGGGTTTCGGGTTTCGGGTTTAGGGTTTAGGGTTTAGGGTTTAGGGTTTAGGGTTTAGGGTTTCGCTGTTCGGAACCGGACCATACAGTAATGAAGAATTAGGGCTTGGGGTTGAGGGTTTCTGAGTTTAGGGTTCAGGGTTTCTGGGTAAGGGCTTCGGATAAACACCCCCCAGAGCTTACGCGGTGAAGCCCAAAGCCCTGAAGACCCTGCAGCCCTGAAAGCTCTAAACCCCCAACACCCTCCCCCCCCGCCCCCCCGCCCCCCACGTCCCACACGCGGCACAAGCATCCTGCATTAAACCCTAAACCCTGCGGTTTAGGGTTTAGGGTTTAGGGTTTAGGGTTTAGGGTTTAGGGTTTAGGGTTTAGGGTTTAGGGTTTAGGGTTTAGGGTTTAGGGTTTAGGGTTTAGGGTTTAGGGTTTAGGGTTTAGGGTTTAGGGTTTAGGGTTTGGGGTAAACCCTAATCCCCTAAACCCAGAGCCAAGACCCCCAAGACCTGATCAACGTGGGGAAGCCTGGGAAATCACACGAGCTAGTGATCCCCTCAGCCCCGAAGGCCCTGAAGCCCTGAAGCCCTGAAGCCCTAAACCCTAAACCCTAAACCAATTTACATCTTCCTTCAACTCGAAACCTGAAACCAAGTTGAACCCTCACATGAGCCCGCAAGCCACTCCCCCCCCCCCCCTGCCCAAAAACACGTGCCTGGAAGTACTGCTGTCCGGCCTGTCAGCACCCGGTCACATGACCCCGATGGCCCCTGAAACCCTAAACCAGCAACGAACACCCGACCATCTGTAAATCCCGAAACCCAGAGTTTAGGGGTTTAGAAGTTTAGGGGTTTAGGAGTTTAGGGTTCAGGGTTTAGGGCTTAGGGGTTTAGGGGTTTAGGGTTTAGGGCTCAGGGCTTAGGGCTGAAGACCCCGTAAGCGCTACAACTCGAATTCTTCAACCCCCCCCCCCCGCCCCGCCGCCCCACACCCCACACCCCACCAGCATCTCATACCCTGCGACGTCAAGACCTGACTCCTCAGGCCCCAAACCCCAAACCCTAAACCCTAAACCCTAAGCCCTAAACCCCAAACCCTAAACCCTCAGCCCTAAATCCTAAACCCTAACTCAGGCTCGGATGAGAACACCGAGAAAATCTCCTCGGCAGCACACTCCTGGGGCCCCAACACTGCCATCCTGGAGGGCCCCCCCTTAGAGGGTTTAGGATTCAGGGCTTTCGGTTTAGGGTTAGGGTTTAGGGTTTAGGGTTTAGGGTTGAAGGTTGAGGGTTGAGGGTTGAGGGTTGAGGGTTGAGGGTTTGAGGGGTTGAGGGGTTGAGGGGTTGAAGCCTAAAGTCTTAAAGTTTAGAGCTTGGGGCGTTTAGGAGCCTGAAACCCACTTCCACCCTCTCGTGGCCCTTCCCCTCCCCCTCGAGAGATGTGCCTGCGCCTGGGTCTGGAGGTACTGCTGTCCAGACTGCAAGCACGGGATCACATGACACCCCTAAACCCTAAACCCTAAACCCTAAACCCTAAACCCTAAACCCTAAACCCTAATAAATTCTAATTTATATAAACTCAAATATACTTGTATATTTGAGTTTATATAAATTAGAATTTTCCCTAAACCCTAAACCCTAAACCCTAAGCCCTTTTGGGTTTTCAGGGTCTTCGAAGGGAACACCTAGACCCTAAAAAAAGGGGGAATCAGCGCCTGCTCTGGCTTCTAGGCTCATAACTTGCCAAAGCCTAACAAACGCCAGTATATCTAAACCTCTAAACCCTGAACCCTAAGCTCCCTACACCCCCTACACCCCTAAATCCTAAACCCGAAACCCTAAACCCGAAACCCGAGCGCATCAACGCAGCACTACTCTCTACTCTAAACTGTGGAGGAGTACTCTCCTTGGGGGGTGAAAGGTTTCGAGTTGAGGGGTTAGGGTTTCGGGTTTCGGGTTTAGAGTTTAGGGGTTAGGGCTTCTTGTATTTTGCGGGTACAGAACGAGGTCCCTTTGGGAAATGCCAAATTTTAAGTCCAAAACCCTAAATTCCTAATCCCCTAACCCCTAAACCCCCGAACCCCTAAACCCCCACAGAAGCCCTAAAGCCCCAAGTAGCCCCTAAACCCTGCACCTGGATGTACTGCGCGGGCTGCCTTGACTGCGAACTCTGGGAGTTTTTTGGGGCGTCAGGATTCCATGGCGGTTTCGTGTCTCCTGTTTCCGCCTCTCCCCCTCTACCTCTCCCTCCCTCCCGCCCTCCCTCTCTCTCTCTCTCTCTCTCTCTCTCTCTCTCTCTCTGTCTGCTTCAACAAGCTTGTGCCCAAAAATTTCCCCTGTACAGCTCCTCAGCACCCACACTCGTCGTACGCTAGTCAGCATAGTAAGGGGACCCTCCTGAAGTACAGTTCTCCTAACCCTAAACCTTAAACCCTAAACCCTAAACCCTAAACCCTACACCCTAAACCCTAAACCCTCCCTCAGCCCTGGACAACCCAAACTGACAAGGCCATACCGGTCCCTAAGCCCTGAGCCCTAAGCCCTGAGCCCTAAGCCCTGAGCCCTAAACCCCAAACCTAGACCCTAGACCCTAAACCCTAAACCCTAAACCCTAAACCCTAGACCCTAAACCCTAAACCCTAAACCCTAAACCCCAAACCCCAAACCCCAAACCCCAAACAAACTGAGGGGCTGCATCGCGGCAGGATACGTCACCTTGCCGGCTCTCAAGTCTGGGGCCCCTGGGGCTTTACTTGCAGGTTCATGGCACCTATTAACCTGTGACTTTCTGTACAGGGTTTAGGGTTTAGGGTTTAGGGTTTAGGGTTTAGGGTTTAGGGTTTAGGGTTTAGGGTTCAGGGTTTCGGGTTTCGGGTTTCGGGTTTCGGGTTTCGGGTTTAGGAGAACTGTACTTATAGCCCACCTATGAGTCCCTTAATGTGCCCCAATACGGTTACAATTTGGCTCATAAGTACAGGTATACTTGGTTCATAAGCACCACGAACCTTCAAAATAGAGCTGTAGGTGTGGGACTGTAGAGCGCTGTGGGCGTGCGGATTTTCGGGTTTTTTGGGGGGTTCTGGGGGCTTCAAGGAGTTGTTGAGGGCTTTGTTGGCTTCAGGGACTTAGGCTTGCGGGGCTTCAGGGGCTTTAGGGTTTGAGGTTTAGGGTTTAGGGTTTAGGGTCTAGGGGTTGAGGGGCTTAGGGGTTCTTAGGGGTTTTAGGGTCGCGAAGTTGCGAGCTCAAGCACCTCAACCCGAAAGCCGACACCGCGCGTTCCCACCACCGATCAGCCCTTCACCCTACGCCCTGGATCCTGAAAACCTAAACCCTTAAACCCTAAACCCTAAACCAAAACCTATACCCTGGACCCGAAACCCTGGACCCCAAAGCGAACATTGGGCCAGGTTCGAAAACCCTACAAACATCAAACTGTCCAAGGCCTTATAAGGGGATGAAGGGTAAAGAACATTAAAACCTTATGTTCAAACCCCTACAGCCTAAACCCAAAACCCTCACCGCTACACCACTCTTGCTATACTGAACTTGGAACCCTAGCAAAAAATGACATTTTAGCTGTTCCTTAGCAATTGCAATAGCGGAAAAAATGATATTGGTCCCAAGAATCCCTATAAACCCTATAAGCCCTACAAACCCTATGAACTCTGTAAACCCTATAAACCCTATAAACCCTATAAACCCTATAAACCCTATAAACCCTATAAACCCTATAAACCCTATAAACCCTATAAACCCTATAAACCCTATAAACCCTATAAAGCCTAGACCCTAAACCCCTCTTGCAGAGCCAGCAGCAGGCTGAGCCATGACGGTCGGCGACACAAGAGTGCGGATCGAGCGAGGAAAACTTTCGAGGCCGATGGCTGCGGCAGCTTGGGTGCCTAGGTTTAGGGTTTAGGGTTCAGGGTTTAGGGTTTAGGGTTGAGGGTTGAGGGTTGAGGGTTGAAGGGTTTAGGGTTTAGGGTTGAGGGTTTAGGGTTTAGGGTTTAGGGTTCAGGGTTCAGGGTTTAGGGTTTAGGGTTTAGGGTTTAGGGTTTCGGGTTTCGGGTTTAGGGTTTAGGGTTTAAGGTTTAGGGTTTAGGGTTTAGGGTTTAAGGTCTTGGGTTGAGGGTCTAGGGCTCTAAGCCCTCAACCCGAAAGCTTCTTCTTCGCGCGAAGGTAGGCAAAACATTGGCGGTGACATCGGCAAACTCTCCAGCACCTCACAACCCTAGCTCTTCAAAGCCTGAGCTTGATTCTCCAAACTACGTGGGCTTGCTGAAAAACTGAGAAGGGCAACCCTAAACCCTAAACCCTAAACCCTAAACCCTAAACCCTAAACCCTAAACCCTAAACCCTAAACCCTAAACCCTAAACCCTAAACCCTAAACCCTAAACCAAGCCAGAAAGATCGCCTTATTGAAGCAAAATATGGTGGCGCCTGCCGGTCAACTTCATATACCCGCCCCCCCGTGAGGCGGGCCATGGTGGAAGAACTTGCGCGGTGCCCAGTGGGACGCCACCCAACATGACATTGAAGTAGGGTTTATATTGCTGTTTTTGGTGAGTGTAAATAAGGTTTCTTGTTCATATTGGTGAAGTGTATACCTTGGGTCTCCTTTTGGGGTACAAGAAATATCAAATCTAAGCTGTCTCACCTTGATATGATTTACGACCTCGAGTCCGCAGTACAAGAAACATAAACCCTACTTCACATGTACTTGAGGGGTTTAGGGTGGGGGTATGAAAGTGTAATCACAAAGGGATCAGAAGGGAATACTGTTAGGAATTATTACGACCCCTAGAGTGTTTAAGCGGAAGCAAAACTCAACCGCCTTGAGCCGGAACCCTAAACAGACGTGAGGCTTTGGAAATGCCAAGCAACAGGACTGCTGCCCCCGCAACCCTAAACCCTAAACCCTAGGCCCTAAACCCTAGGCCCTAAACCCTAAACCCTAAACCCTAAACCCTAAACCCTAAACCCTAAACCCTAAACCCTAAACCCCCGCAACCCGAGCACAGCACAACGTCCCAGACAACGGCAGGGCCATGACCTCTAAAGAGGCTACCAGGGAACGGCCAGCCACACTACGCCAGAGCCACTTCGGTGGTTGAGGGGTCCTTTCAAAACCCTAAACCCTAAACCCTAAACCCTAAACCCTAAACCCCTAAGCCCTAAACCATCCTCTCCGCATCACCACGCATGGCTGCTTATGCTCCCTGGCGCCGCCTCAAAAGGATCGAAAATCGGATTCTTAGCAGCAGCCGGAGGACTTCTTCTTCTTGCTCCTGGGTGGTGAGGGGTATGGAGATGCTGGGGTTTGGGGTTTGGGGTTTGGGGTTTAGGATGTAGGGTTTAGGGTTCAGGGTTCAGGGCTCAGGGTTCAGGGTTCAGGTTTTCAGGGTTCAGGGTTCAGGGTTTAGGGTTTATAGGGGCCTTAACAATTAGAATAGGGTTTTGGGGGTCACTACAGTATAACTATAAAGACACCAGAAGGGAACACTACTCGTAATTGTTAGGGGTTTAGGGGTTTAGGGTTTAGGGGTTTAGGGGTTTAAGGGTGTAGTTTAGGGGTTTAGGGTTTAGGCTTTAGGCTTTAGGCTTGAGGGTTTAGGGTGCCCTTGACCCCCCCCCAAGCCTCTGTCCCATCCGGAGGGGTGCCTAAATTCATGTCTCCTATGCCGTAAGTACAGATGTTATGGTAAAGCGGCCGTTTTATACTCAGGTTACCCACTATAATATCAAAAAAACAGAAACCACAGTTTGGAAAAACCTCCGTTCCCCGCCGCGGTGCTTCTTGGACTTCTTGCTGCTGCTGCCTCTCCGCTGCGGAGTTTCCCGCATGAAAGGCTTAGGGTTAAGGGTTTAGGGTTCAGGGTTTAGGGTTTAGGGTGTAGGGTTTAGGGTTTAGGGTTTAGGGTTTAGGGTTTGGGGTTTGGGGTTTAGGGTTTAGGGTTTAGGGTTTAGGGTTTAGGGTTTAGGGTTTAGGGTTTAGGGTTTCGGGTTTAGGGTTTAGGGTTAGGGTTTAGGGTTTAGGGTTTAGGGTTAGGGGGTTTAGGGGGTTTAGGGTTTAGGGTTTTTTAGGGGTTTAGGTTAGGGTTTAGGGTTCAGGAGCATGCCTTACGAGACTCAGAAACCTCATACCCCAAGACCCAAGCCTAAGACCCACAAAACCTGACGCGGAAGAGGAGGCCATCTGCGAGGAACAGCTACACAGGCCTACATTCGGGGTTCTAACAGGCCCCAATCTTCAAGACCCTAAGCTCTAACCACCAAAGCCCTAAACCCTAAACCCTAAACCCACCCTAAACCCTAAACCCTAAACCCTAAACCCTAAACCCTAAACCCTAAACCCTAAACCCTAAACCCTAAACCCTAAACCCTAAACCCTAAACCCTAAACCCTAAACCCTAAACCCTACCCGCATGCGTTGAGGGTGAGGGTGAGGGGGAGACTGCAAGGCGCAGGCTGGCTGAG